AAGGCCCCTCCCCGGCGCAGCCGGTGTACCCCTGCTTTTCTCAGGCCCCGCTCCCTCCCCGGGCCCCGCACGCCCCACAGCTCTGCTACCCATGGTGGGAGAAATCAGCTGCAATAAAACCTGGAGCCAGAGTTCTGCCTCGTGTCTGCCTGCTGCCGCGACACCGCACACAAGTGGGGGGGATCACTCTATCCAGCCTCTGGGGTGGTGGACCTGGGGGAAAGTAGGTGTATTATGCAGGTCCTCTCCTGGGCAAGGAGACTCACCTGCCCAAGGGATGCCAGATCTCCCCGGGATGTGCAGAGCTCACCTCCCGCAGGGCTGGCATGTCAGCTGCTGAGTTCAAGGTGATCTGCTCAGGCAGTGCCAGGCCAGGTCAGCTGTGGAGCTGATTCTGCTCCCAGGATGAGCTGGTACAGACTGGTGTGGCATACAGGGGTTCTGTGTTGATTTTTCTTTTTTTTCTGAAATATTTCTATGTTCCATGCTGAAAGGCCTGACACTGATTCTCCCTGCTGCTGATTGTTCCCGGCAGCAGCCTGTAGCTCTCCTCCCTTTGCTACGGTTGTTGTCCACAGCTGAGTTGAGGTGTTGTACCTAATTCTGTCTCTAGTTTGGTTCTCAGGTCCCTGGATGCAATATTGCTTCCAGTGGCTTGTTCCAACCACTGTGCACTGAAGTGTGCCTGTAAGACCACGATTAGCCAACAGGGCCAGCAAAGCCTGGTATCTTGCAAAACCCTCGCTCATAGTTTGCTCCTGTCCAGGGCTGGGTGGTTGGTCTATGCTGGGAAAGGGAAGAAACCACCGCGCTTTGGAATGTGGAGAGGGTGGTGGGCTCCCTGAGGTTGGGAGAGATGCGGGTAAGCCAATCCCATCATATTCTGCTGCAGGAGGGGAATGTGGCTCATTTGTGATGGAATGAAGTTTGAACTTTGGGCTTGAAAGAAGCCATGGTCCCTCTCCTGTGTCTTTGGAAGAAACGCTGAGCTTGAGGAAGGCTTATGGCTGTGAATCCTGAACAGCTTGGGACTCTCACGCGGAGAAATGTGACGGAGGTCCCAGGGCACCCTGCAGAGCCATGGCAGTGTCATGTTCAGTTGGGTGCCCTGGAGGCATCTGCGGGCCTGCAGCCCTGATGCGCGAGGAGGTAGATGCATGAGGAACTGCTGGTTGAGAAAGGCTTCCCAGTCTGAGATGACTGGAGAGTAGCATTTCTGGACTGAGAGATATGTCTGCTGGTTTAAAAGTCATTTGCACTCCAGCCTGGATGTACAACCTGACTGGAGTGGGGAGGCTCAACAGAAAAGGGCTTGGGGTTGCTGGTAAACAGCAGTCTGCCCAGGAGTCAGCAATGCACCCTTGCAGTGTTGAAGGCGAACTGCATCCTGGGCTGTATTAGCAACAGTGAAGCCAGCAAGGCATCACTCAGCACTGGGAGACCACATCACATGTACCACGTCCACTGCAGAACTGTCCAGTGCACAGAGATGTCACCACACCGGAGCAAGCCTACGTGGACCCAAGCTGATCCAGGCCTCTTGAAAATCTGTGAAATTTTGTTTCCCCTGCCATGCCCGGCTGCCTCAGCTCTAAAACCCGCCCCAGCATCACAGCCATGCTGCGTGGGCTTGCAGTGCTGTTGACCCTTTCTTCCCTGCCCACTCTTCCAGTTTCCTCACAAGGCCTGGGTCAGCATGCACAAGGTTAGCAAGGCAGGATGATGCTGGCCTGGCCTGCTGTCTCGGGTTAGCTCCAAGTCATGGCTGGTAGGGCTGCACTGAGCTGATGCTTCTCGCTTACCCCCACTGCTTGCTCTTGGCCATGGGGTAGTGCATTCCTTTTTGGAAAGACCCCCCCACCTTGAAACCCAACTCTCTTCTTTAACTGAAAGTTTTGAATTTTTGTCTTTAATTCCTCGGTTAAATATTATGAAAAATTTTCCATTGAAAGTCTTTTCCTACTGCACCAGAAGCCTCCGGTCTACTCCTCACAAGAAACTGGCAACAGTTGAGAGAAGTTCCCAAACAAATGAAGGACATCTGCGTGTGTCTGTGCAGGCTCTGGAAGCAATTTTATTCTGCAGGACGGATACAGGCTATGGCAGGGATATGGTGCATACATGGCCTGCCTGGGCTCAGAGTGGCTTAGATCAGGCTAGCTCGCGAGGACTGACCTTTTTTTGCTAAGCAAAAAGAGAATAAGACCTTGCTGGATCAGGAAGGTTTTACGTTTCTGAGCATTCCCAGAAGAATACGCTTGGAAACCACAGCATTTATAAAGACTTGTTCTAAAATAATGATCGCTAAAAATTCACCACAGGTGAAAGGCCAGAGACAAAGCAGTGTGCTTTTCTACTTTTCAAGTGAAAAATGAAAAGAAAACAGCTCTTGATATACAGGAACAATCCTATTCACCCCCAGACCCCAAGCCAAAAAAACAAGCCCCACCAGGGCACTGATCTGGCCGTGCACCCAGTGCAGACAGGAGGGGGAAAGACTGCTAATGGTGCGGAGCTGGTTTGATGAGGATGGCAGAAGCTTTGCAGTTCCCGCTGCACAGGCTGCCCCACGTTATGGCCCCCTTGACGTTCAGCCGTGCAGAGTAACACGCCGAGTACCACCACCCACCCCCATAGCGGGAGGCACAGTTGCTGCTGGAAGTGTCCTGATCCTGATCTTTGGCTGAGAACTTCATGTTGTCGTGCACAGTGCTGGGACTCTTTGAGGCCATGGCATCCTCCGCTGTCCCCGAGTACGTTCCCAGCCGCAGCCGGTAGCCCTGGGACTCGTCTTCCACACTGAAGAAGCTGTAGTCTGCAAACTTGATGTTGTTTGCAGCATCCCAGATGACAAACCTGGCCTGGTAGACCTTCTGCTTGGAGATCTGATGGATGTACTCGGTGCCCAGCCAGTACTCGGTGCGCACGTTCCCAAAGCCGTTCTTGTAGGTGCTCCAGGACTCGGCCCAGGTGATCTCCGTGCTCTGCTGGTTCCTCTGGATGACCGTCCAGCCCCCGTCCGTCACGTTCATCTCGCAGTACACCACAATGGGGTGCAACCCTGCGGGCTGGATGACGTAGACACCGCTGGGGCTGCCATGGGGGACTTCGCTGCAGTCCTTGGGCCAGCCTGGGGCAGGGGAGAGGGTGATTTAATAAGACCCTGTGCAACACAACTGTGTTTCACCCCATGACAGGATAGAGGGACATCTGGCCAGAGTACCTGGGGAATAATCAGCTGTCTCAGCCCAGACAGGTCAATGTGCTTGGCTGGATGTGAGAGTGGATTGGCCTCAGCCCTCTGTTCCTCTTCGTTATGGGACACCTAACAGGAGGCAGGCCCAGTGAAAGGCCCCACACCCACTGGGCTATGCTGGCATCAGGCCAGAAGACCGATATGGACGCTAGTGGGCTCCTTTGGGTCTCCTGAAAAAGGGTTTGTGTCACTAAAACATGGTCATACTGAGGAAGAAGGTGAAGAGAACCTTGCCCCTGCCTGTGACTGATGGAACAGGAGAAAAAAGACCCCTTCTCGCACTCAGTTACCCCAACCAGTCTGCAGAGTGCACACACACACACAGAGCACTGCAGCCTGCATTGGGTGCACCTCCTCACAGCCACCACCCTCCATCTATCCCGGAGCAGGGCCAGGGCTAGGGACGGAGCAGGGCCCTTCCCACCCAGAGCTGGCTGTTCATGAGCACAAGCACGGGATCCCCGTGGCGCTGGCTGTGTGCTCTCCCCATGCCTGCAGCTCTCTTGCTGCAGGGCCTCACACCACAGCTAAGGTCGTCCTGCAGCATGGGCAGAGCTCCTCTCCCCAGCTGAGCATGGCCTGGGGTTGATGCCATGTCTCCTCAGCCCACCTGCCCGTACACACTGCGGAGGTGTTTTTGGATCTGAGGCATCATAGCACATCCTCTCCCAAGAGCTGTTTTACCAAGCCTCCACTGGCCCAGAGCAGGGGCTGGGGCTGTTCACCAGCCAGGGCTGACCCAGACCATGGAACTGTGCGCGCTGGTGAGAGCACTGTGATGCCCACGGGATGCTACATACTGGTTTTCTTCAGAGCACTCGCCGAAGTGTTCGAGGAAGATTTCTTGAAGATGTTTAGTGTTTGTATATGCATGGAGTGGCCTGGGACAGCCAAGATCAGCACACAAACAAGGAGTACAAGGCGCTGGGCTGCTAGAAAGGGAAAAGATGGAGAAAAGATGAAATGTGACCTTCCGTCCAGAGAGGCTGGAAACCCCATGACCCCACCACTGCACAGGGTAACACGACCGTGTGAGATGCAGAACTGCACCAAGTATGCTGGGCAGCATCAGACTGGTCTGTGCAAGCTGGAAAGCTTGCTAAAAGGCCTCAACTCATTTTCCCAAGGTGTAGACAACCTTGCCTTTTCCCCTTTACCAGCTCCTGAAAAGTCATGGACGAGATAGTTCTGGGTGGAGCAAAGAACCCAGCAACGCACTGAGCCAGGTTTCATTCCCGGCCCCTGAGGCAGGGCACGAGCTGCTGGCGTTCGTTGGGGTGGCAAGTGAGCGTGCCCTCGGAGGGCACCGATGCCACCACTCCGCATCGGCATGCAAGGACCAGCGCACGGAGCCTCTTGCTCCGTCTGGGCTGCCCGACCTCGCTCCCCCCATCGCTGCTGAGGAGCACCCACTCCCAGCCTGGTACTCACCCATGGCAGGGATGCCCTCCGGAGCGCAGAGCTGTGGAGCAGCAGCTCTCAGGGGCATTTGTAGGGCCCTCTGCGGTGGGCGGGGTGAGCAGGTCCGGCTTCCTTCCCAGGAGGAACGCAGGCTGGGTTTCCTTGCGCCCTTGGAAAGCACCAGCAGAGATGAAGGTGCCTGTTTTTCAAGGTGCACAGCTTCCTGAGCTGCAAAGAAAATAACCTCGTTGCCAGCAAGAGGCCTTGGAATGGTCTCTTCTGTGAGTGCTTAGCTCCTTGGATGGAATTTCCCCTGGGAACAGCACATTTGGGAACTTTGAAGAGTGCAGCTCAGTAAATAAACACTTGAACACCAGTCACCAACCAGTGTGGAGAGCAAACACTGGGGATGTCCCCGCCTCCCACCATTACATCAGGGTTCTGGGTCAACTGGTTCTTCTTTAATGTGCTCTTGGCAAGCCCAGCCTAGCTCCTGGTGGGGAAGTCAGAGCAGTCCCGTGACTCCCAGAGAGGCGGGCTGTTGTGGGACGTTATTTGGAGCGGCGGGTGCTTTCTGGACTGCATGGCAGCAGGCAGAGCGTTGTGGCAGAGGGGGAAGCAGGAGAGGTCTCTGTTCCCCAGTGGGCCACAGTCCTGATCTGCTGGGATGCGGCTGAACGAGACTGCAGAAAGACACTGGCTGAAGGGTTTCTGTGGACAATCTGAGACAGCTGTGGTCTCTGGGGCACTGGGTCTGCGAGACTGGTCACACAGCAGGGATGGCCACAGAGGAAAGCATGTGGCTGCCCAGGAACAGAGCAAAACTGGGAGGATGGAGGGCAGCAATGGGGACCTGACCATGTACAGAGGGGAACAGAGGGGTCTGAGCATGCATGGAGGGGAAAGCAGAAGGCTTGATCCTGTGTGCATAGAGAGGGAATGGAGGGGATCTGGGTGTGCATGGAGGGAAAATGAAGGGAATTGAGGGTGCACAACAGTACTGGAAGGGATCTGATGGCAGAAGCCATAGGAACTGAGCACCCACAGAAGGGACAGGTGGGATCTGAGTGTTGATGGAGGGCAGCAATGGGAATCTGAGGGCACTGGTTGCGGCAAAGTGGGATGTGAGCATGCACAGAGGGGAGAAGTCAGCACTAAACAGACACTGGAAGGAATAGAGGAGATCTGAGTATTCGAAGAGGGTAACAGAGGAGATCTGGGTGCATATGGAGGGAAATAAAGGACACTTTAGCGTACAAGGAGGGGAATGGAGGGGATCTGTTTGTGCAAGGAGGACAACAGAGCTGGTTCCAAAGACAGAGGGGTTCCAAAAGAGTATGGCGAGGGGAATGGAGAGCAGCTCATACGAATGGAGAGCATCTGAGAGTGCTTGGAACTGAACAGAATGAATCAGAGGGGATCTAGAAGCACCCAGAAGGGAACAAAGGGAATTTGAAAGCATGTAGAGGGGGCATGGCTTGGGTGTAACACACTCACAAAGGATAAGAGGGACTGGGAGGGTGCATGAAGGGGAGTGGAGGAGATCTGAGCGTGCATGGATGGGAACTGTGGGGTTCCAAGGCACAGGTAGGGAAGCGGAGAGGATCTACAAGCACTCAAAAGGGAAGGGGGGGGGTAACTGAGGGTCCACAGATGGGCACAGCAGGAGCCTGAGCATGAAAAGAGAAGAATGGCAGGGACTACAGTGGCACGTGGGGGAACAGAGAGTGCATGGAGGGGAATGGAGAGGATCTGAATGCACACAGAATTGAATGTGTGGTTTCGATGCGCCCTCTGATGCTCCCCAGGGTCTTTCATTTGCCCTCTGGTGCAATGCAGAGACTTCCACTCAGTCCTCTCGTCCCCTAAGAATCGTTCCTTTTACCTTTTGGTGCACCCAAAAGAAGGTGCACCTTTGGAGGCCTCTGGTTTTCCTCCTGTAAACCTCAGATTCCTCCGTTTGCCTTCTGGTACCACCTAGAACCCCGCACTTTCTTTGCAGTGCACCCCAGTGTCCGACATTTGCCTTCCTTTTCATGCCAGAGCCCTCTGTATGCCCTCAGGTGCTTCCCAAGCCTTCTCATGCACCCCGTTTCCCCCTGAAAACCTTCACACCAGAGGCCCCAGCAGGGTCCTGGGCAGCAGGGACCTCTTTGTGTAGGATGTTCAGCAGAAAGTCCAGATAAGATTCTGTTCTGGAGATCGTGACAGTCCGTCAAGACGGGGTGCAGACATGGCTGCTGCACAGCTGCCATGATGCCAGTGGTAAAGGCGCAGCTTAAAAGCAGCTCTGTGGGGGAAAGAGGAGCAGGCCCTCACCTCTGTCTTTTTTCACAACAGCCCTTTTCAGTGAAGGAGTTGACTTTGGATGTGGCCAGCTAAACTCCTTAACTCACCGAACAACGTCCTGAGTTGGAGGGAAGGACTCAAGGGGCCTGGCGTCAGGCCGCCCTCACAAGCAGTAACACCGATCTCTGGAACAACCCACACAGAGCCCTGTCGTAGGGGAAGAAACCCATGGTGGCTCCTGGGGCCAGCTCTTGCCTCGGGATCCCTCTTTCCACAGGGAAGCTCAAGGATTGCTGGCTGAAGACAGGTTTGTGCTTCCACAACTGGAGGCAAAGAATAGAGTCTCTGGCTCTGGGTGCCACGGTTACTCTAAGGTCTCTTGGGTTATGGCCCCACCACATGTTCTTCTCCCGTCTGTAACAGCGACAGTGTTTGGGGTGCGTTGGGTAAGGGTCTGGGTGCTCCGGGCAAATTCAGAGGCCACAAACCTGGGGGAGGTCCTTGATTCAACTGGAGAATTGTTTTGGAGGGCGTGCTCATCCAAGAGGGTGAGGAGAGGGAGCAGTGTGATGTGGGACCTTAATAAGTGTGATCTGACCAGGCCCTCTTTGCTGCCGTTGAGGCAAGATGTTTTCTGGTATTGGGGAAACAAAGGATTTGCTGAGGTAGGTGGCAACGTGATGGTCTCTCTTGCCATCTCATTGGTATATGACGGCAATATGTGAAGGGACCCTCTTGAGATCACCTGGTCCCTTTTCAAGAAAGACTCCCTCCCTGGGCAACTTGTGCCAGTGTTTGGTAACCCGAACAGTGAAAAAGTGTTTTCTTGTGTTCAGATGGAACTGCCTGTACATCAGTTTGTGCCCATTGCCTCTTGTCCTGGCACTGGGTACCACCGGAAAGAGCCTGGCTCCCAGTTCTTCATTCCATCCCTTCAGGTATTTTTACACATTGAGAAGATCCCCCTTTGAGCCTTCTCTGCTCCAGGCTGAACAGTCCCAGCTCTCTCAGCCTTTCCTCAAAGGAGAGATGCTCCAGTCTCTTAATCATCTTTGTGGCCCTTTGATGGACTCTGTCTAGCCTGTCCATGTCTTTCTCCTGCTGGGGAACCCAGAACTGGACTCCAAGTGTGGCCTCACCAGTGCTGAATACAGGGAAAGGATCACCTCCCTCGACCTGCTGGCAACACTCCTCCTAATGCAGCCCAGGATGCTGTTGGCATTCTTTTACCATGACCGTACATTGCTGGCTGATGGTGAGTTTCTGGCCCTGATGGCGAGTTTATGGCCTACCAGGATCTCCAAGTCCTTTTTTGCAGACCTACCTTGCAGTTGACTGGCCCCAGGATTGACTCCTGGAGTGCACCTCTGGTGATTGGTGTCCAGTTGGACTTTGTGCCACTGATTGGCACTTCTGGGCCTGTCCATTCAACTGGTTTTCAGTCCACCTCCGTGTTCACTTATCTACCCCATCTCTTGCCAGTTTGTCTGTTAGGATGTTTTGGGAAACAGTGTCAAAACTTAGCAAAATTGAGGTTAAACAACATGCACTGATCTCCCCTCATCCATCATGCTAGTCCCTCATTGTAGAAGGTTATCACATTACTTAATTATGCTTTCTCCTTTGTAAATCCATGCTGACTGCTCCAGACCACCTTCTTGCCTTTCATGTGCCTGGACATGGTTTCCAGGACTTGCTGCTTCCTCACCTTCCCAGGGATCAAGGTGAGGCTGACCAACCTGTAGTTCCCTGGGTCCACCTTCTTGCTGTTGAAAACAGGAGTGACATCCACTTTCCTCCAGTCTTCAGACACATCTCCCAGTTGCCAGGATCAATCAAAGATTATTGAGAGTGGCCTTGCAATGGCATTGGCCAGCTCTCTCAGCACTCGCGGGTGCATCCTACCAGGGCCCAAGGACCTGTATGTCCAGCTTGCTGAAGTGTTCCCTAACCCAATTCTCTTCCACCCAGAGCACACTTTGCTTGCTTCAGACTTTCCCTCTGATCTCTTTGGCCCGGGATTACTGAAAGTTGGTTTTCCCAGTAAAGACAGAAGCGAAGAAGTCATTGAGTGCCTTGGCCTTTTCCATGTCCTGTATCACCAGGGCCCCTGATTCAGCAGCAGACCCACATTTTCCCTAGTATTCGTTTTCTTTATGTACTTGCAGAAATCTTTCTTGCTGCCCTCCACATCCCTCGTCAGACTTAACTCCAGGCCAGGCTTGTCTTTCCCAACCCCATCCCTGAATGGTTGGGCAGGATCTCTTTATTCCATCAGCTACCATACCCTGACTCCATCTCTTGAACACTTCCTTTATACATCTGAGTTCACTCAGGAATTCCTTGCTCATCCACACAAGTCCTCTGCAAATTTTGCTTGATTTCTTGCTTGTTTGCAGGACATGTGTAAGAAAAACAGATTGTAAACATATATAATAAAAACATGTCCCCTGCCTCCATCTACTTTTTAGCTTTTGGGGTGAGGAGTGTGGGCTGGTGGCCCCCACTTCCGTGGGTTCCTCTCCTTGTGTGGCCAAGGGGGGTGGTGCAGAGCATGGCATATCCCCTCTGTGATGCTGGTACACCCTCCGATGCACTGCCAGCCTCCTCTCCAAAGTGACAGCCAGGCCAGAGAGCTGCCACAGTCTCTGGGGAGGGTCCGCTCTGGCCATCTCATCAGTGAGACCCTCAGTCAGCCCCAACCTGCAGCAGGCCGAAAGGGCTCGTTCCCCTGGATCGGTCCCTTTGGACAGCCTCAGGAACTGGATTTTGTGCTCAGCAGCTGGTTGATGGCTTCTGTGCTAGATCTCCAGTGAGGCTGTCCAAGCTGCTGCTGTACAGCTGGGCCGCACCGCAGACTGCTCCAGAGCATGCAGCAAGTAGTCACGGTCCTGGAGGACAGGGTCACTGCATGCCGTGTAGCAAATGATCACGTTGCAAGCCCTCAACTGTGGGACCGCAGTGAACCAGGTCACTTTCTGCCCTTGGCTGCTCCATGTTGTGTTGAGCCCCTCCAGCGCTTGCCGTGGCCTGGGGCAGAGACAAGAAAAGAGAGGTCTGAGAGGAAGGGAGAGCCCATGCCCGTCGGCTGCGTCTTTCTGTCACCCTCCTTTGCCAGTTGCGTATGCTCGTGTCATCAGCACTCGGGACGGGAAGAGCTCCATCCCCTTCCCTTTCCTTCACACAGCCTGAGGGAAACCTGCGGCTGAAAGGAGTGTGGTTTCCAGCCTGCCACTGCCCCAGTCCACTTGTTCGCAGCAGAAGAAATAGGCAGCGATCACAAAACCACAGCATGTTCCTGATGAGAAATATTATAATTACTTGGACGAGAAACAGGAGCTGCAGCCTCTGGGATGAGCACACAGTGGCTCTGTCGCGTGGCCAGAGGAGAAGGTCCTTGATGGGGTCAGCACTGGCCTCTGCGGGATGGGGGAACCCAGGCTGGGACTTCAGCCCAGAGACTGCAGCTCAGACTGCTCAGCCGTAATCTCTTCTTCAAAGAATGGTATTGCATTCCTCCTCTACTCTTGGTCCGTTTTGTTACAATGTCTAAAATATCCGTAGTAGCAATTTATCCAAATTACCAAATTGAAGTCATTTGGGTTCTACGGTGGCATAAAAGTAAATGTGTAACAAAATTTGTGACAAAATGCTTTGAGGCAAACAGTCAGAGGAGAAAGTAACTTGACATTTGTCATGGTCATGACATACGAGGGCATTATTAGACACGAGTATCTTTAGTACACAGGTATCCAGAGAAAGCTTTCCCGCAGGTAGCAGCCTGGCCCTCCCGTAGTGTGAGCTGTCGAAATGCGGGGTCAGGAGTGCCAGAACTCGGCTGTGGACAGCTGATGTGCTGCGCAGCACCCAGTTCTTCTGTGTGCCAGCCCAAGACCCCCAGATCCCTGTCTCCAGCATAATCCAGATTTTTAGAACTCTGTGGCTTCTCGTGCCCTTTGCTCCTGCACGTGCACACACCTCATGTGCGCGGTGTGTGTACGCACAGCGATGCACAAGCAGAGCATGTGCAAAAGTCGCTTCCTTCACGCACACGTGCACACATATCCGCAGACGCACGGGTGACCTGTCTCCTGCTCGCAGGTGCCCTTCACGTGGGTGAGCGCCTGCTGGCACGCTATGCTCACCAGGAAGTCTACGCCCCCCCACCTTGTGACCACGTGTAATTCAGTAAAGCAGGAATACACCGTTACGATGAGTGTACAACATGATGAACCAGTCAGCATGCAATGAATAACTTCCTTGTTTTTGTAAGAGCAAAATATGACTCTGCCGAGCGGTGTGCCGGCTTTGTGGCATTATCACCCAGCACCCATATCTGCGCAAATACACGACAGAGACCATACCTCTGCTCTGGGCATGCAGTGGCTTGTCACGCAGCGGGTAAACAATCCCACTTTTGCACACGCCACCCCCAATGCAAGAGAAACTGTTGTCCCAGAAATTGGGATTAGTGCACCTGGTGTGCAGCACACCAATACACACAGAGCAGAGGTATTTTATTGCATTTTTACAAATATGGGTGTCTGTCCCAAGACAGCACCCCTCATTCACAGATCCACAGTTATTTATACACAAAACGTTAGCATGTTGAACTCCCCGAAACAGATGCATTGCTATTCTATTAAATGATTGGTTAAAGCCTCTTCTTCCAGCAGGTAAATTAGTACGCATGCTCAGTTTCTTCATCCTTTGAGTCTGCGGTATAATTGGGGTAGGTGGTCCGTGAGTTGGTGGTCGCGGAGCCCCCCGTTGCAATTACCTTTCCCCTAGTTACCTGTTTCTTTGGCAATATCAGCAGCTTGTCATAGCTCGTTAGCTATTCTTATGATTCATCACTCTCTGGTTCTACTGTGGACAGGTACATCCCTCTTATGAAACAATAACCCATTATTCAAAATCCTGTTTCTTAGTTTCTCTAAACCTAGTATAGCTAATTTTAAACTTTTAGCTACAATAAGTGTAGGGCTTTACAAAAATGCCCACAGCAGCAATAGTCTGATTAATTTCAATCATCACTCCACATTTTGCTTCTCCTTTTTTATTCCTTAGTATAACAAAGCCATTGCAGAAATTCTTGGTCCTCAGGGATGAATCCACATATCAGGCTCCCCCAGGGTGAATCCAGGCATCTGGACTCCCCCGGGGGACCCTGTTGTCCAGGTCTGTGGGATGTCCGGGGGTCACAGGTCTCCAGCATTTCCAGGTGGCCCTGGGAGGCAGAAGGAGGAATGGGGCACCTGGGGGGTCCTGGGAGCAACTGATGGGTCTAAGGGTGAAAGTATGGGACCCTGGGGGCAAGTGGGGGCAACTGGGTCAACTGACTGTAACTGGGGCCCCCAAAGGGACAGTGGGGGTTCTGGGGAAAATGGGGTAAGCGGCAGGTTCTCCAGGGGCAAGCAGGGATTCTGGGGGAAGCAAGGCAGCCTGGCATGGTCCTGGGTGCAAGGGAGAGGTCCCAGAATGGCCAGAGGACACTGGGAACCCCAGGGGGTAACAGGGGGCCCTGTGAGTTAGGCTTTCTGGCAGTCTCTGGCCTCCCCTGGGCACCCGAGTCCCCTTGCATTTGTAGGGAGTCTTGAGGGACTGTGAGTCCAGGGGGTCCCATGCTGGTCTGCGGGGAGCCCAGAAGCATGGGGATGTGGAGGGTAAGGTTTTTCTGAGAGTAAGGGTTTTTACAAGGTCAGGAGGACTCACACTAACAGCAGCACGAGTGCCATGGAGCCAAGTGCCAGCCCCAGCGATGCCATGTGGTGCAGGGGGGTCCTGCCATAGGGCCAGCGCAGCACAGCCCTGAACTGAGCCTGGAGTCCCTGCTCTGCCTCCACGCTTCCCCCTGATACTGTGGAAACCCAGGCACCTCGGGTCATGGAGCACTGCCTCCCAAGGACCAAGCGTCCCTGCAGCAGCCACTCCAGCCGCAGACCTCCCTGCCCCAAGGGACCCAGCCATCCCCCCACATGCCCCACTGCCCCAGAGGAGCCCTGCTCCACTCCACTTGTCCACCACGGACCCGGGTGTCCTGGCACCCTGCTCCCACCCCCATGCACCTCCCTCCCATGGACCCCGGTGCCTGGGGACCCTCTCCACCCCACACCGTCCACTGCCCCCTGGCACGCAGGTGTCTGGGTGCACCGTTGAGATGAAGTACTTGCGGACCAAGGGCTCAGAAAGGCCCCCCAGGAGACAGCCGATGGTTCCTGGAGTGGGGTCCTGGAGGGTCAGGCTGAGAGGTCCCACCGCGCTTCCCTGCAGCTCCTCAAACAGTGCCAGGTCCTGTGTGCGCATCTGGGGCACAAGGGGACACGTCACTGCAGCCTGCTCCGCCAGGTACACGAAACAGCACTCAGGTGCACGCAAAGGCACCTGTGTCCTGCACGTGCTCGTCACGTCCCCTTCATGCTTCTCGTGCCCTTTGCTCCTGCACGTGCACACACCTCATGTGCCCGGTGTGTGTACGCACAGCAATGCGCAAGCAGAGCATGTGAAAAGTCGCTTCCTTCACACACACGTGCACACATATCCGCAGAGGCACGGGTGACCTGTCTCCTGCTCGCAGGTGCCCTTCACGTGGGTGAGCGCCTGCTGGCACGCTGTGCGTGCTCACACACGCACTGCTTACAGCACACATCTCTACTGTGTAAACAACACCTGTAGCCACCGATAGTCCTCACGCCAAGAGCACAACCGTGTGCAGGCAGGCCTTGCCCCTCATGCCCAGTCCTCTCATGAATATATATGTATGCCAGTGCACACGCATGTGCAACTCACATCCTTGGCAAACATCCAGGTAACGGGCAGGTCGGGGCAGGTGGCAAAGCGCACATCGCAATGCAGTGTGACGTCCTCATTGGCGCGGGCCCACATGTCCTGCGCTGGGAGCAAGCACAGGCATATGAGTTCGCCTCTGCCAGCGTGCCAGCAGAAAGGACCGCACTCCTGCGCGACTGCCCGCACCGATGAGCGCCCAGTGGGATGGGAAAACGTGAACTTTGGCATGTTCCTGCGCACTAACGGTGGGCTAAGCAGGCACAGACAAGTGCAAGCAGTGAGGGTTGCACCCGAGCCCTGGAGGCACCCAGCTGCGGCGTGAGGCTCAGCACAGAGCACTGCTCGCACAGAGGCACAGAGACTAGGGCTGCTTGCTTGTCTTGCCACCTCAAATTTCAAACATAGCCTTGGAATGGGGCGTGACCTTGCTAGACTACATTCACAGCCCTGCTCCGAAAA